CTCCAGAGCGCGTGCGAAAAAGATGCCAGTCTATGATCGCCCAGCCAAGCCGCTCGATCGTGAGCACCACTGCTCCTGCAGGCCCACGAACGCCCTGCCACCCACGAGCAGCGCGGCTGTGAAACTCTCGAAAGCTGGACAACATAATCTTGTGCGGGATCCAGTTCTGACGGGCCGCTTGGCCCCACATCAAGATGGGCAAGGAGTGCGCGTCGCAATTGGGGTCACTCTTGGGGTCCACAGAGAGCAAGAACTCAAGGGCACGGCAACGACCTTTGGGCGTCCCAAACAGTGCTTGTCCCAGCGTACTGCGTAGTTGTGCAAGTCTAGCGGTCGCCATGCCCTGCACCCTGCATCCATACGTAGCAGACGCGAGACCTCCAGATCGGGCAACTCGAAACATACCCTTGCGTGACCTCCGAAGCCCTCGAACACGGCCAGCCCGAACCCGAAGCTTCCGAAGACGTTTAGATAAGGTCCTGGCTCCTCGAGAACCTTTCTGCGTAGTCTGATCCACACCCAGGTTCCTCCCATAATGCACCCCTTCAAAGTTCCATCGTCTCAGCATGCGCACAATGCAAACTCTGGTGGCCGAGTGACTGCTCATCACCAGGCCCTTCGACTGGGAGATCACTAAGTGAAGCTTCCCGAGAAGCGTGCACAGCGGAAGCACAGCGCGTGGCAACACAAAATCGACATGCCTGCTAGTACCTGCTGACTGCGCTGCGATGTCGTCTACCACGTTATACAGCGGCACGCTAGGATACAGCTCGCACACACGGTCCAATGGGGCTGTGAGCATCACGGCAAGCAACGACGTGGCGAACCCGCAGCCCGCTAGAATACCCTGCAATGCTACCACTGGCCGTCCTACCACTCCCATCACCTGCACTATCCTCCTCCCACGATACAAAGACAGCAACAGGCGCAGCAAAGTAAGGCTGAAGCTGTACTGGACCGCCGCCTTGGCTAATAAAAGATGGCAGACCTTCTCATAGGCCTTCGTCAGATCGATGAGCACCGACGCCGCACAGCCTCCTGCACTGAGATGCTGCTCGACCGCTATGCTCTGCTCCCACACCGCACGCTCGCAGCTACGAGCAGCCACTTCATAATGGCACGAGCGACGGCTCTCTCGCCCCCATTGCTTAACTTCGCGCCAAGCAAGCTTGGAGAACACCCGCGAGGGAGTGGGAAGCAGAGCAATGGGTCGAACACCCCCTCAGGCTCACCTAGCATCGCGAGAATCGTGGCCAAGAGGAGCGAGGGGCACGCACCAAGAACCTCCATCTTGTGCCAAAGAACCGCGAGAACCTCCAGGAGCCCGTCTGTGGCCTTATCGAGATCTCGGGGGCGAAAGGCGTCAATCCCAGGAGCCATGCGATTCCTGAGTTTCCGCACCGCCCCTCTGATGCCCTCCACCGTCCTGACCTTCATGCACATATCCTCCACCTGCATCCCTTTCTCCTCAGCCTGGGCTTTGATCTGATGGGTAAGGTACGCGATGGGGTCAGGGCACTTACCAGCGTCTTTCTGGGGCCCCCAAACACCAGCCCAGAAATCAGTCAGGGCATCGACCTGCCCTTGAGGGCCCAGCGGGGCCTAAACGCCAGATTGAAAACCAACCTCAGAAGGCACCCAACCAATCGGACACTGAGTGTACTTGCGGGCAGCCCCTCCCCCATTAGTCACCGCCTCAACCACCCAAGACCTCCACTGCTTACCACGGGTCGCGGTGTAGGCCCTCTCTGCCGTAGTCGCAGCCTTCTCAGCCTGCGCAAGGAGGTCCGCAAGCTGAGTAGCACTGGCAGCGTACAAATGACTGAAGCTGGGGACCCAGGCCTTCCAGTCGGGATCGTATCTGAGCTCCTTGGGGCATCTGGCCAGGCCGCGCAAGATGCCCATGCAACAAACATTGCCCCAAGCGGGGCCGTGGACAAGGTACAGCAGCTCCCCTAACCGCTTACATATCCTCCTCCAACCTCGACACTCTGAGCTGGCAAGCGGGCACGGACCACCAGAGAGACGAATCGCTGAAACAGTGACCTGCTGCGGGGGATAGCCACGGCCAAAGCGACTGCGCTCGTGCTGTATGCAGCCCGTGATACTCGGCCAGCTCAAGTTCCAACGCTTCAACAAAACGTTTGTAACAATCATCCAGCTCCTCCTTCCTCGCAATGCTATCCACCTCCTGCAACAACCCTCCATAGTCCCTGGGCTGGCACCTCGGGCCTACGACGAGCTCTGTCGGGAAAAGGCGCGGCAGGCGGAGGATGCTGATCTTCTCATCCAAGGGCCTGCCTTTAAACTTGACCACCACTGGCCAATGAGGTTTGACCGAGGCCTTCCTGCTGATCTCACAAGACAAGACGTTAGCAGCGATACCCGCTGACATGACGAAATAATCAATCGTGCGCCACTTCTTAGCAGTCGACTTACACGTGTACGAATCAGGACGGACGATGCGACCACGAAGTTTCGAAGGCCAGCCCATCTCCTGAAGTGCCTCTGGAGTAGCGTTCCAGTCCCCACCCAAGACGAACGGGAGCCCCAAGGGGTGCAAAACTTCTCCGACCCTTCCGAGAATTTCACTGCCAACAGCCCCCAATGGATCGTCATCAGGTAAGTAGATTGAACCGAGCACAAAACCTCCAGGGATATACGCATTTACCCATCTCAGATGGATGTGCTCAGGAAACGCCAACGCACGAGGTGTAGACGGCGGGGGGCTCATGCCAACATGCGACTTGCAGCAAACAGCTACACCTGCAGACAGCCCACCTGCCTCGGCAACAACTGATGCTCCGATGCTGACATTCCAAGCTCGTTTACGAAATAGATCCTCTGAAGCAACTCGCTCCTTCTCCTCCACAGCAACCTCCTGTAAAACCACAACGTGGCTCTCGCACTCCCCGTCGAGAAACCGTTTCGCGGACTCCCAGGACGTCGTGTTGCACGTTGTGATAGAAAAGTGTTTACAATTATCCTCTCCAGTCCCCAGACCTCCCCGCTCGGGCCGGCCGTCGTGGGCCTTCCACCTCGAGCGGGCACGCGTTAAAGTCGGGCTCACCTCAGGGGCTGGGGGGGCGGGTTTAGGGATCGGCAGCACAGGCGGGTCGGCAACCGGTGGGGGAGGGACGTCCCGAGGGCGAAGCCAGAACAGCCCAGGAGGCCCAGACACCGAAGCCCCCCCCCCCAGGGCCGAGCCCGAAAAGGGTCCCCAGTTGCCAGACTCAAGGGAAACCGCCTTACCCAGAGACCACCAAGCAACCTCCAGCTGCCTGGAAGCTTCGGTAACCCATTCACCCAACCCAGGTGAATAAAGCCCGCTGCTGCCAAGCCAAGGCTCACAAAAACGCCCAGAGTCAGGCTGACTCTGGTCCCTCAGGTCCAGACCCGCGACCCCTGTGGATGTCGAACCCAAACTTCTAGTCGTACTCGACTGCTCCCTCCAGCGATTCCCGCCGCCTGAGTTCCACAGGCATTGGGTCTCCACCATCTCAGGGAACAGCCAGGGCCATGCACTCGACCAGGTACCAGTGGTAGTCGATGAACCGACCACCCGCAGCGCCTCGAAGTCGAGGCCCTCGTTGATGCTAAAGTGCCGACCCTTTGCCCGCACCAGGACCCTTGCCACCAGCTTCTCCTTTGCCGTCAGACGCTCTCTCCTGGGCGATGGCCTCATCCAGGATGCGCTGGGCCTTCGCCTTGAAGTCCTCGGGGTCGATCTCGATGGTCCCATCAGGCACATCATCACCAGGAACTGGGGTGGCCTCGGCCATCTGCTCCCCTCCGCCAGGTACTCCAGCAGGTTGAGAGGCCGAGGCCACCCCGCGCGCTGAACCTTCATCATCAGGCCCTCGACGCCGCTTGGTCTTGAGCCTCTCTCGAAGCTCCTCCTGCTCCTTCCGAGCCAGCTCCGCCTTCGTCCTGAGCTCGCCGAACAGCGCCGTGGCGGTCTCGCGGAACCGCTCCTTGAGCTCCTGCTCGCGCCTCTTGGCCTGCTGGCGGTCCTCATCCGACACATCAACGAACTCCACCAGGCCGAACAGGTCCTCACCGCAAGTGAGCTCCCACTTGCTGGGGTCCCCAGCCACGATATCGGCCAAGTTGAACACCGTCTTCTGGGGCTTGACCACCTGATGCAACTCTGTGACTGCATCACGGTACTGCTGCTCCTGCACCGCGAGCTGCTGCATCGTCTGGCGCAGCATGTCTCACTTCGTGTCCAGGTCCTTCTGGATGGTGGTGATATCCTCCGTCTGGGTCTTGACCATGCCCTCCAGCGTCTTGCAAGCCTTGTAGGACTGGTCCGCCCGCTGCTGAGGAGTGGGGCGCGACTCCTTGAGCACCAGCAGCTGCTCGTAGTAGGCCACCATGGCAGGCGCATGTGACTTACGGGCCAACTGCAATCCCTGGCGCACCTCCTCGACCGACATGTCGGGTGCGGGGTCAGCTCCAGCGCCTGCCACAAGCCCAACAGGAAGAGGAGCACCTTGAGCCAGCCCAGGCGGACTGTCAGGGGCGCTCTGGTCGCGGCCCTTGCCCGCACGGTTCGCCTTGGGCGGGCTGCCTTGGCCACCGCTGTTGCCCCCGTGGTCGCCAGGAGGCGGGGGGCGATCATGCCAGTGGCCACGGCAATGCTTGCACCATGATTGGTCCCAGGGCGTCTTGCCACAACCGCAATGCATGCACTTCCAGAGTCGCGCCTTCGAGCCATTCACAGCCATGGAACGGGCGCAACACGAGAACTGCCGCGGGAAGCAGGAAAGAAAGGCCTCCTCACCCTGGGCAGGGCTGCTGATCGAGGAATTGGCCGCGGTTCCTCAACCACCTCGAGCCCCCACCCTGGGGGAGGCGAAGCCCCAGGCAATGGCCTTGAGCCAAATGGCTTGAGCCAAATGGCTACGGAACTCCTCCTCCTCCTCCTCCTCCTCCTCCTCCTCCTCCTCCTCCTCCTCCTCCTCCTCCTCCTCCTCCTCCTCTGATCCGTGGCGATCCTTGGCGGGCGTCTCGCCGCCGCCCTTTGCGTCCTGTCGCGGCGGGCTGGGCGTCGACAGCGCCCCCTGCAGCCTGCGGCACTTGGCCGGCGGCGGGGCGGCCGCGCCTGGCCCGGGCGCCTCGCTCGGGAGGGGCCGGCCCGGACCCCTTCGGGTCGAGGATAGGTCGAGGATCGAGGATCGGGGATCGGGGATCGGGGATCGAGGATCGAGGGTCGGGGATCGAGGATCGATCCTCGATGGGTCAGGGATCGAGGATCGGGGATCGAGGATCGGGGATCGAGGATCGAGGGTCGAGGATCGGGGATCGAGGATCGGGGATCGAGGATCGGAGATCGAAGATCGAGGATCGAGGATCAGGGATCAATGATCGAGGATCGGGGATCGAGGATCGGGGATCAAGGTCCTTGGGCGTAATGCCCCCTTGCCGTGGGCACGGCTGCATTCCCCTCGTAACTCTGGTCAGAACGCACCCCTGGAGAGGTCTGGCGGTTGAGCTTCGACCCCTGGACCCAGACCCCCTCGCGTCGTGAAAACATCGGCGGCGAGCCCAGAGAGGAAGTGAGAGGGGGCAGACCTTCTCAAAGGCGGCCGGGCCTCTCGGAAGCCATCGCGCCTTCTGAGAGGCCGTCTGTGGCTCCAGAGAGGGCTTACAAGGCTTCTCGGAGGCCGCGACATGATTCTGAGAAGCCCCGCCGCCTTCTCAGGTGGCATGCCCCCTCTCACTTCCCCCCTGGGCTCGCCGCCGGAAAAAAACGCTGGCAAGTTGTTTCGCTGTTTTTAGCCTCTGCGGCCCATGTCGGGTCTGAGGGCCGTCAGAAAACAACTCCGGATGAAACCAGGTCCCCGGGAAGGGGTCACGGACCTCTGGGAGTCCACGCTGCGGAAAAATAATGACGGCGGGGTCAGAGGGTCGCGCCGAATCGCCGATGCATCGGCAATGCATCGGCGACGCAGTGATGGAGAAGTCGAGCTCCGGATCGCGCAGGGACCCGGATGCAGCGCGATACTGCGACCCCCAAGCATTCGATGTCGCGATGTCTTCACAGCGCGCCTCGCCCGAAGGTCTGCCCCCCCTCCCAGGGATCGTCTCGGCGTCCTGAGCCGTTCTTTGACTGCCCCCTGCCCAACACAGAGCTTTTCGATGTCGTCTTGTTTTCGTCATCCATCGTTTTGCCTTCAATCCGCCTTTGCTGCAAAACAAAATCGAAATGAGAACGGCCCACCAAATCGCCAAAACACCTTTTAGATCCACCCCTGGTCCATAAGTTTCGAGAACAACTTGTGAGTTGCATGACGAGGGGTCATGGCCCTAGTTGCTCTAGAACACGCTGGGTGTGTGCTTGTGGCCAGTGCTCCATGTTATGCGATTGACCCGACCAAGGCAAGCGGTACTGTGCTATTCAAAACGAACTTTGAAAACACAGCGAAAACGCAAAGAAAACGAGCGAGTGGGCCACGGACCAATCCCCACGGGACAAAAACGCCCTCAGCGTTTCAATCGCATCTAAGGTCAGGGCCCTACTCCCCGACCTCTCCCAAACGATGCCGTCATCATCGCAGACGACGTCGTCGTCGTCGCCGTCGTCCGCAGTCGTCCCCGTCGTCGTCATCCGTCGTCGTCGTCGTCGTTGTCGTCCGTCGTCGATCGTCGTCGTCGTCTTCGCCGTCGTCCGTCGTCCGTCGTCCGTCGTAGGTCGTCTGTCACCGTCGTCGTCTGCGTCGACGTCCCTGTGGTCGTCGAAGTCCGTCGTCGTCGTTGTCGCCGTCGTGGTCGTCGTCGTCGTCGGTCGTCATCGCCCGTCGTCGTCCTGGTCATCGTCGTCGTCGTCGTGCGTCGTCGTCGTCCTCGTGAGCGTCGCCCTTCTTCGTCGTCTTCCGTCGTCCGACGTCGTCGTCCGTCGGCCGTCGTCGTCGTGGTCGTCGTCCGACGTCGTCGTCGTCGACGTCCGTCTTCGTCAACGTCGCCGTCGTCCGTCGTCGGTATCGACGTCATCGTCGTCGTCGTCGCCATCGTTGTCTTCGTCGTCGTCCGCCGTCGTCCGCCGTCTTCGTCGTCGTCTGCCCTCGTCGTCGTCGTCGTCGTCGTCGTGGTCCGTCGTCGGCGCCGTCGTCGTCCGTCGTCGCCGTCCGTCGTCGCCGTCGCCGTCGTCGTCGTCGTCCGTCGTCGTCCGTCGTCGTCGTCGTCGGCGTCTGGCGTCGTCGTCATCTTCGCAGTCGTGGTCGTCCGACGTCGTCGTCTTCGTCGTCGTCTGGCGTCGTCGTCGTCGTCGACGTCGTCCGTCGTCGCCGCCGTCATCCATCGTCGTCGTCGTCGTCCGTCGTCGTCCGTCGTCGTCGTCCGTCGTCGTCGTACTCGTCGTCGTCGTCGTCCGTCGAAGCCTTCGTCGTCGTCGTCCGTCGTCGTCGTCGTCGTCGTCGCCGTTCGTCGTCGTCGCCGTCGTCGTCGTCGTCGATGCGAAGTCGTCGACGTCGTGGCCGCCATCCCTCGTCGCCCGTCGTCGTCGTCGAACGTCGTCGTCGTCGCCATCGTCCGTCGCCGTCGTCGTCGTCGTCGCCGCCGTCCGTCGTCGTCGTCGTCGTGGTCGTCTGTCGTCCGTCGTCGTCCGTCGTCGCCGTCGTCGTTGCAAGCGTCGTTGTCGTCCGTCGTCGTCGTCGTCCGTCGTCGTCGGAATCGTCGTCGTCAACCGTCGTCGTCCGTCGTCGGCGACGTCGTTGTCGTCGGCGTCCGTCGTCCGTCGTCATCCGTCCATCGTCGTCATCGTCGTCGTCGTCCGTCGTCACTGTCGTCCACGTCGTCCGTCGTCGTCGGCATCGTCTTTCATCGTCGTCGCCGCCGACGTCGTCATCGTCGCCGTCGTCGTCCTCGTCCGTCGTCGTCTGCCGTCGCCAGTTTCGTCGTCGTCGTCGTCGTCCGTCGTCGCTATCGACGTCGGCGTAGTTGTCGTCCGTGGTCGTCGTCATCGCCGTTGTCGTCGTCGTCGGCGTCGACGTCGTTGTCGTCGTCCCCGTCGTCGTCATCGATCGTCGTCGTCGTCGACGCCCGTCGTCGTCGCAGTCGTCGTCCCTCGTCTGTCGTCGTCGGCGTCCGTCGTCGTCGTCGTCCGTCGTCGTCCGTCGAAGTCCTCTTCGTCGTCGTTCGTCGACGTCGTCGTCTGGCGTCGTCTTCGTCGTCGTCGTCCGAAACCCTCGTCGTCGTCGTCGATGTATTCGTCGTCGTCGTCCGTCGTCGTCCTCTTCGTCGTCGTCATTCGTCGCCGTCGTCGTCTGGCGTCGCCTCCGTTGTCGTCGTCCGACATCGTCGTCGTCATCGTTGGCCGTCCTCGTCGTCGTCCGTCGTCGTCGACGTCCGTCGTCGTCGTCGTCCGTCGTCCGTCGTCGTCGACGTCTGTTGTCGTAGACCGTCGTCGTCGTCGTCGCGTTGTCGTCCGTCGTCGCCGCCGTCGTCATCGCCGTCCGCCGTGGTCGTCGTCGCCGTGCCTCGTCGTCCGTCGCCGTCGTCGTCCGTCGTCGCCGTCATCGTCCTCGTCCGTCGTCGTAGTCGTTCATCGCCGTCAGCGCCGTCATCCGTCGTCGTCTCCTTCGCCGTCCGTCGTCGTCGACCGTCGTCGTCGTCGCATTGTCGTCCGTCGTCGCCGTCGTCGTCATCGCCGTCCGCAGTGGTTGTCGTCGACGTCAACGTCGCCGTGCCTCGTCGTCCGTCGCCGTCGTCGTCCGTAGTCGTCGTCGTCGGTCGTCGCGGTCGACCGTCGTCGTCGTCAGGCGTTTCCCTCCTCCGTCGTCGTCGCCCGTCGTCGTCGCCGTCGTCGTCGCCCTGTCGTCGTCGCCGTCGTCGTCAACGTCGTAGTCGTCCGTCGTCGCCCGTCGTCCGTCGTCGTCAGTCGTCGTCGTCGTCGTCTGTCGTCCGTGTCGTCCGTCGTCGTCATCGTTGTCGCCGTCGTCGTCCGTCGTCGTCTTAATCGCCGTCGTCGCCACTCGTCGTCAGCAAATATCATGAATCGTCGTCGTCCGCCGCCGCCGTCGTCTTCGTGATCCGTCGAAATCGTCGTCGTCTGTCGTCGTCGTCGTCGTCATCGACGTCGTCGTCGTCGTCATCGTCCGTCGTCGTCGTCCGCTGTCGTCGTCGTCATCAGCGTTGTCTTCGTCGGTAGTCATGCGTCGCCGTTGTCGCCCGTCGTGGTCAACAGTCGCCGTCGTCGTCGTCGTTGTCGTCAGTAGTCGCCGCCGTCGTCCGTCGTCGTCGTCGTTGTCGTCGTCAGTCATCGTCGTCGTCGCCGTCGTCCGTCGTCGTCGTCGTTTGTCGTCGTCGTCATCCGTCGTCGTCCTCGTAGTTGTCGTCGTCGTGGTTGATGCTTCGTCGTCATCCCCGGCGCCGTCGTTGTCGTCCACCGTCGTGGTCTGTCGTCGTCGTGGTCCATCGTCGTCGTCGTCCGTCGTTGCCGTCGTCCGTCGTCGTGGTCGCCGTGGTCATCGTCCTCGTCCACGTCGCCGTCCGTGATCGTCGCCGTCGTCCGTCCCAGTAGTCCATCGTCGTCGTCGTCGTCCGTCGTCGTTGGCGTCGTCATCGTCGTCCGTCGTCGTCGTCCATCGTAGTCGTCGTCGTGGTCCGTCGTCGGTCGTCGACGTCGTCGTCGTCCGTCGCCGTCATCATTACAGTCGTCGCCTGTCGTCCGTGGCGGCCGTCGTCGTCGCCGTCGTCGTCGTCGTCGTCACTCGTGGTCGTCCGTCAACGTCGTCCGTCGTCGTCGTCCATCGTCGTCGCCATCGTCGTCCGTCGTCGTCGTCCGTCGTCGTAGTCGTCGTCGTTGGTCGCCGTGGTCCGCCATCATCGTCGTCGTCGTCCGTCGTCGTCGTCCGCTGTCGTCGTCTTTAACTCCGTTGTCGTCGTCGTCCGTCGTCGCCGTCGTCCGTCCTCGTCCGCCGACGCCGTCACCGTTCGAATCCCGTTGTCGTCGCCGTCGTCGTCCGTCTCATCGTCGTCCTCGTCGTCCGTCGTCGCCGTGGTCGTCATCAGTCGTCGTCGTCGTCATCATGGTCGTCGTCGTCCGCCGTCGTCAATCGTCGTCGTCGTCGTCGCCGTCGTCCGCCGTCGTCGTCGTCGACGTCCGTCGTACGCCGCCGTCGTCAGTCGTCGTCGTCGCCTTCGTCCGCCATCGACCGTCGTTGTCGCAGTCGTGGTCCATTATGGTCATCGTCTTCGTCCTTCGTCCTTCGTCGGAGTCGTCTTCTTCCTACGTCGTTGTCAACCGTCATCGTCGCCTTCGTCGTCGTCCGTCGCCCGTCGTCCATCGTCGTCCGTCGCCCGTCGTCGACGGTATCCGTCGTCGTCATCCATCGTCGTCGTCGTCCGTCGTCGTCCGTCGTCGTCGTCGTCGTCCGTGGACGTCGTCGTAGTCGTCGTCCGTCGTCATGGTCGTCGTCGTCGTCCGTCCTCGTCGTCGTCGTGCGTCGTCGTCCGTCGTCGTCGTCGCCGTCGTCCGCCGTCGTCGTCGCCCGTCCTTGTCGTCGTCGTGGTCAGCGTCGTCTTCCGCGTCGCCGTCCGTCCCAGTCGTCCGTCGTCGTCGTCGTTCGTCGTCGTCGCCGTCATCGTCGACGTCGTCCGTGGTGCTCGTAGCCCGGGTCGTCCATCGTCGTCGTCGTCGTCGTCGCCCATCCGTCGCCGTCGTCGTCGTCGGCGTGAGTCGTCGACGTCCTTCGTCGTCGTCGTCGTCGTTGTCGTCGTCGTCGTTGCCGTCCTTCCTCGTCGTCGTTGTCCGTCGAGTCGTCGTCGCCCTCGTCGTCGTCCGTCGTCGTCGCCGTCGCCGTTATCGTCCGTAGTCTTCGTCGTTGTCGTTGTCCGCAGCCGCCGTCGTCGTCGTCGTCGTCATCTCCACCGTCGTCGTCGTCGTCCGTCGTCGTCGTCGTCATCAACGTCGTCGTCGTCGTCCGTCGTCGTCGTCGTCGTGGTCGTCGTCGTCCGTCGTCGTCGTCTCCGTCGCCGTCGTCGCCGTCGCCATCGTAGTCGACGCCGTCGTCGTAATCGTCCGTCGTCCGCCATCGTCGTCGCCGTCGTTGTCAACTTCGTCAGTCGTTGTCATCCGTCGTCGTCATCGTGCGTCTGAGTCGTGCTCACCGTCCGTCGTCGTCGTCGTCGGTCGTCGTCGTCGTCCGCCGTCGCCGTCGTAATCGTCGTCGTGGTCGTCGTCCGTCGTCGTCGTCGTCGTCCGTCGTCCGTCGTCGTAGTCGTCCATCGCCGTCAGCGACGTCATCTGGCGTCGTCGGTCGTCGGTCGTCGCCGTCGTAGTCGCCGTCGTCGTCCGTCGTCGTCATCGTAGTCGTCGTCGTCGTCGTCGTAGTCGTCCGTCGTCGTCGTCGTCGTCCGTCGTCGTCGTTGTCGTCGTCGTCGTCGCCGTCGTCATCGCAGCCGTCGCCGCCGTCCGCCGTCGTCGTCGTCACCTTCGTCTGTCACCGTCGCCGTCGTCGTCGTCCGTCGTCGGCGTCGTCCATCGTCGTCGTCGTGGCGGTCCGTCGTCGTAGCCGTCCGCTGTCGACATCATCGTCCGTCGTCGTCGTCGTCGCCCGTGGTCGTCGACGTCGTCGTCGCGCGTCGTCGTCGCGCGTCGTCGTCCGTCGCCGTCATCGTACGTGGTCATCCCAACCGGAGTCGTAGCCGTGGTCGTCGTCGTCGTCCGTCGTCGTCGTCGTCGACGTGCGTCGTCCACCGGCGTCATCCGTCGTCGTCGTCCTTCGTCGTCGTCGACCTTCGTCGTCGTCGTCGTCCGTAGTCGTAGTCGTCGTCGTAGTCGTCCGTCGTCGTCGTAGTCGTCCGTAGTCGTCGTCTTCCGTCGCCGTCGTCGTCGTCAACCGTCGTCGTAGCCGTCGTCGCCGTCGTCGTCGGCCGACGTCGTGGTAAGTAGTTTTCGTAGCCCGTCGTCATAGTGGTCGTCCGTCGTCCGTCGTCCGTCGCCGTAGTCTGTCGCCGTCGAGCGTCATCGTCGTCGTCATCGTCGTCGTCGTCCGTCGTCGCCGTCGTCGTCATCCATCGTCGTCGTCGTAGTCGTCAGTCGTCGTCGTCCGTCGCCTTCGTCCGTCGAAATCCCCGTCGCCGTCGCCATCGTCATCGCTGTCGTCGTCATCGTAGCCCGTCGTCATCGATGTCGTCCGTCGTCGTCGTCGTCTTCGTCTGTCGTCGTCGTCGTCATCGACATCCGTCGTCGTCGTCGTCGTACTCGTCGTCGTCGTCGTGCACGCCGTCGACGTAGCTGTCCGTCGTGTGCGTCGTCCGTCATCGTCGAAGTAAGTCGTCGTCGTCGTCCCTCGTCATCGTCGTCGTCAGCCTCGTCGTACTCGTCGTCGACGTCTGTCGTCGTCGTCCGTCGTACGTCGGCGTCGTCGTCGTCCGTCGTCACCGTCGTCGTCGTCTTCGTCGTCGGTCGTCATCGTCGTCGTCGTCAAGTCGTCGTCGTCGTCGTCGTCCGTCGTCGTAGTCGTGGTCCTAGTCGTCAGTCGTCGCCGTCGTCGTCGTCGTCGTCGTCGCCGTCCGTTGTCGTCGTCGTCTTCGTATGTCGTCGTCGTCGGTGTCGTCCGTCGTCCATCGTCGTCGTCGTCGTCGTCTGTCGTCGTCGTCGTCGCCGTCGTCGTCGTAGTCACTGTTTTCGTCGTCGTCATCGTGGTAGTCGTGGCCGTCGTAGTCGTCTGTCATCGTGGTCGTCGTCCGCCGTTGTCGTCGCCACGGTCATCGTCATCGCAATCGTCGTCGTCGTCCGTCGTCGCCAAGTCCTAACTTCCGTCGTCGTCGTCGTCTCCGTCCGTCGTCGACCTCGTCGGCCTCGTCGTCGTCGTCCGTCGTCGTGGTCCGTCGTCGTAAGAATCCGTCGTCGTGGTCATCGTCCGTCTTCGTCGTCGTGGTCCGTCGTCGTTGTCGTGCGTCGTCGTCCGTCGTCATCGTCGTCGTCCCTCGTCGGCGCCGTCGCAGTCGTAGTCGTCGCCGTCGTAGTCCGTCGTCGTCATAGTGGTCGTCGTCGTCCGTCGTCGTCGTCGTCGTCGACCGTCGTCCGCGTCGTTGTCGTCCGTCGTCGTCGTCCGTCGTCGTCGTCCGTCATCGGTCCACCGTCGTCGTCTTCGTCGCCGTTCCTCGTCATCGTTTCAAGTCGTCGTCGTCCGTCCTCGTCTTCGTCCGTCGTCGAGGCAGTCGTCGTCCTACTCGTAGTCGTAATCGTCGTCGTCGGTCGTCGGTCGGTGTCGTCGTCGGCGGCGTCGTCGTCCGTCGTCGTCGTCATAGTCGGTCGTCGGTGTCATCGTCCTCCGTTACCGTCGTCGTCATCGACGTCGTCGTCGTCCGTCGTCGTCGTCATCGTCGTCCGTCGTCGTCGTCGTCGACGTCGTCGTCCGTTGTCGTCGTCGTCCCTCGTCATCGGTCGTCGTTGTCGTCTGTTGTCGTCGTCTACGTCCGTCGTCGTCGTCCGTCGTCGTCGTAGACGTAGTAGTCGTCGTCCGTCGTCGTCCATCGTCGTCGTCGTTGTCGTCGTCCGTCGTCGTCGTCGTCGGACGTCGTCGTCGTCCGTCATCGTCCGTCATCCGTCGGCGTCGTCGTCGTCGTCCCTCGTCATCCGTCGTCGGTAGTCGTCGTCGTAGTCGTTCGTCGTCGTCATCGTCGGTCGCCGGTCGGCGTCGTCGTCGTCCGTCGTCGTCGTACGTCGTCGTCGTCGTCCGTTGTCGTCATCGTCCGTCGTCGTCCCCCGTCGTCGTCGTCGTCATCCGTCGTCGTCGTCGTTCGTCGTCGACGGTTTAGTCGCCGTCGTCAACCGCGACGCGAACGCGCCCAGAGTCAAGCAAGGCATGAGGGTCCAAACCCGACTTTTCTGGCTGCTGCTCTGGGGGGCCTTTGCTCAGGGGAGGCTGCAGCACCGTTCAACGATGTGCTGTTTAACCGAACCTGCAGGGTGGGCCCCTTCCCAAATCCGTGCTTCGGTGAGGATCGTCTGCGCGCCTCGTCTCCGTCGTCGTCGTCGTCGGCGTCATCGTGGTCGTGGTGCGTGTTGCTCTGCTCGGGACTTCTTTCCCTGAATTATGCTGTGACCACCACCACCACCGTCGTCGTCGTCGTCTTTGTCGTCGTCCGTCGTCCGTCGTCGTCGTCGTCGTCGTCGGTCGTCGTCGTCGTCCGGCGTCGTCGTCGTCGTCTTTCGTCGTCGTTTTTCGTCGTCGTCTTTCGTCGTCGGTCGTCGCCGTCGTCGTCGTCGTTGTCCCAGCGGCGCGCTCCTCGGGCCAGGTCGCCGCGGCCCTGGCGGCGCCCTCCACGCGGGCGGCTGTGCGCCCCAGCCGCTGCCCGCACCTGGCCTCCGGGCTGGCCAGGCCCGCCTCACGTCGGCGACGAGCTTCGGGGGGGAACGGCCACCGAAGAGCCGAAGAGGCGGTCGGGCGCTCTCATCGTCTTGTCAGCCTCGGAATGCATTCCAGCGGCTGCGCCTCGCCGAAGATCAGATGGCGGCGGGGCTTCCCAGAAGCCCTAAGGCATTCCGAGGAGCCGCCTCTGTCTTCGGAGGAGGCTCAGAAAACTTCTCAGAAGCTTTCCGAGCCCTCTGAAGGCCCGCCCCCTCTGCATTCCCCCCTGGGCTCGCCGCCGACCCTTGAGGAGGGGATAGTTTGGAAGCAACTCACGGAGACGTGTGCCTGTCCCCACGGCGCCCAGTGGCGCCTCCAACAGCGCGTAAAGTGGAGGTGGTGCATCTCCCTCTTATGGCGCCAGTGGGCGCTGTTGAGCTCCACTTGGGCGCTAATCAGCGCTGACTACTGGGCGCTACTGGGCACTATTGAGCGCCATTGAGCGCCATTGAGCGCAGTGTGCACGATATCGGGCGCTACTGAACGCTATTCGCAAATATGCATTTCATGCAAGCGGAAGCATGCGTGACTTATCTAAGGAGAGAGCCCTGTCCCAGACTCCCTCATGACCTGAGAGCGGCCACCATTTTGGGCCTCTGGGGGCCTTCACGGGGCCTCGAGTCCATTCAATAACGACTCGGGGTGAAAATCTGGCTGGTACCCGGGAATGGGTCCAGACCTCTGGGGGGCCCACGTCATGAAGGGTCCAGGCGCCGGGGATCTGAAGAAGATATGATGAGATCTTTTCACACGGCAAATTGCCATCGATTTCGGCCCTTGGAGGCCGCCGAATCCGGGGCGCGAAATTGCTCTGGGGGTCCACGTCGTGAACAAAAAAGCATGACGTCGGGGGGCTGGGTGCACGTTCACTGCCCATGGCGAAGCCCATCCTGCGCCCAAGACAGGTGAACACGGCCCCCCTGGGCTGAGCCAGGGAGGCGCATACCTTGACCTCCCGATACCTTAATTTTTCCAACAAGATGCTGGTTCCGGGCAAAGGGGGTCTGCCGCGTTGGGTTCGCAACAACAAGTATCATAGTTCATCCTTTGGCGCACGACGCGTGGCAGCCACGTGCTGCTATGTCACGACGTGCGCATCCAGCACGAACGATTGCACGAACTATTGCGTACATGTTCGAGACCTCCTTTGCAAAGGACCCAGGAGCCCGAATCTGACGAGGTCCCTGGAGCTCTGAACCACTTCCCAAGCACCAGCTTTCCGCCCCGGACCCTTCTTTTCCAGTCCTGGGGCCCTGCAAGGACCGTAAACGCCGAAAACGACGAAAAGCCTCCGCCTTGGTTTCCCCAATACGGTAGAGGTCCAGGTACGCCGATGATGGGACCAGGGTGCAGAGGCCTCCGAAATGGGGTCCGAGCAGATGGGGTCGGGGGATTGCGCCCCATCGCCGATGCATCGGCGATGCGGTGCGATCCTCCGACCCCATCTGCGCGGGCACGGGCTGGTTTCGCCGGGGCTGGTTTCGCCTGGGCAGGTTTCGCCCGACGCTGGTTTCGCTGGCGCTGGTTTCGCCCGACGCTGGTTTCGCCAGCGTCGGTTTCGCCCCGCTGGTTTAGCCCCGCTGGTTTCGATGGGGCTGGTCTCGCCCATTCTGCTGCCGCCGCCGTCGTTGTCGTCGTCGCCGTCGCCGTCCTACTCCTCCTCCTCCTCCTCCTCCTCCTCCTCCTCCTCCTCTTC